GAGCCAGGGCAGGAGAGAGGAGACAAGATAATAAAACGTATAAGATTTGAAAAGCCGAGGAAGTACACCTGCCCTTCAGCATGGGATCAAATAACTATTCCAAACCAAATACACTACTATCAAATGAGCTCCAGCACTGGTGGTGGTGTGGGTTACGATTTGTGTTACTGACCACGAGGTCAGCAGTTCCAATCCACCATCCGCTCCGAAGGAGAAAGATAAGGCTTTCTGCTTTCAGTCAAAATTGACAGTTTCTGAATCCGAAGGGACAGGTCTCTTCTGTCCGGTAGAGTCACTGAGTCAGAAGAAATGTCTATTGGTGTGTCACAAAACGTGTCTGCTCGAGGATACGCCGCAACCTAACTCACTGCCATCGAGCCAATCGCAGCTCCTAGCGCCTCTGTAGGACAGGGTAGAACTGCCCTTTTGAGTTTCTGAGACTGACTGTGCGAGTAGAAAGCCCATCTTTCTCCCAAGGAGCAGTGGTTGTGGTTTCAAACTGCCCAACGCCTCCAGGGCTCTTAGGAGTGCTAATAGAGGATATAAAATTCTGCCTTCCCCTATCTAGACCTAATCCTTGTAAATCAGTCAGGTGGTTCGATTGGTTTTTGTTTGATCCTATGGGGCCCGCGTGCGTCTCACTATCAGAACATTGACTCGTTAATCCAATCAGTGGTTCAGACCACCCAACCACTCTACTCCCGTGAAGATTTGCATTCTCGGAGACCTTATATAGGATCACCATGATGCAGGACTCGACTTGATGGCAGTCAGTTTCGTTTTGGAAATGAGTTGGAATCAACCCAATGTCAGTGGGTTTGGTTTTGATCCTAACCGTTTGATTTTGCTTCCTACCTGTCTAAGCAGAATGCCTGATCTTGCAGAACAAATTTACATCTGCTCTTCTCCATCTGTCATGGCACAAAACTGTTCAGGCTAAAAGCCTCGATACCTTTTCTCTCACCCTCCACATCAGCACAGAGGATTCTATCGACTCTACCACAAAACAGATTCACCTTCCAAGGACTTCACACCTCTTCTTCCACCACCTGGCCCAAGACTCCAGTCTCTCCTCCCTGTATTATTGGTGTGGTCTAACTGATCGTTCCCTGCATCTCCCTCTTTATTCCAGTATGGTTTATTCTCAGCAGCAGCCCCTCTATCTTTTCAGATATGATTATAGAGGATGTCTCTTCTCTTCTCTTCTCAAAACCTGATCTGTCTGCTCTTCACACTTAGAGGACACAGCAAAGCCAAGTAAACTGCCTCCTGGACACTTGACCCCTTTACCTCCCTAGCTCATCTCCTACTCTCTTTCTTCCTCCCCTCCAGCCTCACTGTCTTCTTGCTGTTTCTCAACGTGCCCACATTGGATCTTTGCATTCACGATTCCTCTGCCCAGGATACTTTTCTCTTGGATAGCCCACAAGTTGTCATTCTCACTCCCCCCCAAACCATTGATCAGGTGATATTGAAGCCTACTGTATCTACAATTGCAATCTGATCTCTGTTTTTCTTTTTTGTATTTTCCACTGTCCTTGGCATCATTAAACTTATTATTGTCCTCCTACTTTTTAGCAGCCCTCAAGGGGATTGACTTGAGGGCAGTTAATGACAACAACAGTGATATGCTTGATGGTGCCAAGGATGACCCCACGTACAGTGGACCCATTGTTGTGATCTATAGAATTTTCATTGCCTGATTTTCAGAAGTAGATACTCGGGCCTTTCTTCCTAGTTAGTCCCAGATGGAAAGTTTCACTGAAATGCATTCAGCATCAAAGCATATGCACAAATACATATACACAAATACAGATAGATGGTAGCTTGGCTTGTGGTGCATTGATGGCTCAGGAAGGTGGGTCTCTAGCACAGTGGTTCTCAACCTTCCTAATGCCGCGACCCTTTAATGCAGTTCCTCATGTTGTGGTGACACCCCAACCATAAAATTATTTTTGTTGCTACTTCATAACTTTAATTTTGCTACTGTTATGAATCGGGCGACCCCTGTGAAAGGGTCTTTGGACCCCCAAAGGGATTGCGGCCCACAGGTTGAGAACCGCTGCTCTAGAATAAAAGGTGAG